TGTGATCTAGCTTTCTTTTCCGTGTAAAAGTGACTATAGTTGTTTTGTTTGGATTAATCCCCAAGCCTGCACTTTTACACCATTCTTCTGTGATTTTCAGTCCCTCTTGGATTATATCGCAGAGGTTTTCCTCGAATTTTCCCCTGGCTGTCAGGACTATGTCATCTGCATATCCCTGACATTTTATTCCCGAGCGGTTCAGGGTTTCGAGCAGTTCATCAATTGTTAGGCTCCAAAAAAGAGGTGATAATATCCCTCCTTGAGGACATCCTTTTGTTGTTCTAACTTCTATAGAGTTTTTTCCTATATTTGTTTCAGCTGTTCTAGTTCTTAGAAGTTCTCCAATCCATCTAGATGTGGTTTGGTCTACGTGTTTTTCCCCAGGGAGGCTTCCATTGATACATGAGATGCATTGTCGAAAGCCCCCTCAATATCGAGGAACGCGCAGATTGCTATTTCTTTTGTTTCCAGTGTTTCTTTTAGGTCACTGGTTAGTTGGTACAGTGCAGTTTCTGTTGATCTTCCTGCTCTGTACGCATGCTGACAGTAATGGAGAGGCCACCATAGATTAAGTTCTAAGGAGTGTTTCAGTCGCTTGATTGTTAAAAGTATTATGATGAGCCGGATAAACTACGGAAATTAGATGATGAAAATTGGTCTCTTAAACACGCATAAGAGTAGACTTGTTAACCTGGAACTTAGAAAGTTAGCAACTAATGAGAAGTTTGATAATCTTAGTCCAAGAACCATGGCAGATGGGGATTGATAAAGCCATGAGACTGAAGGCTAGAACCGTGTATAAAAAAGGCACTACCCCGTCGGCTGTCATCTATATATTAAGCAAAGATCTCCAAGTAATTGCCCTAGAAGAAACAACTGAGTCACTCCGTGGTGACGCCCCTAGCGGGAACTTAGAGAAGAGGCTGTCTTCTACCTGCGACCTCCAAACGAAATTTCATTCCGCATGTGCATTGATCAAAAATGGTCCTTATGAATACTTAGCCGTATCCGTTTATTGTCACGGTAATAAAGATATAAGTGATGATATTCAAATGATCAGAAACTTGATTTTGAAATACAATGCAAAGAGTTTCAATAATGAAAGGAGGCGATTTTAACGCCCATAATCACGCATGGGGGGATGCGAAAATTGATGCCCGTGGTGAAGAAGTCATTGATTTCATCGCATGCAATAACGTCGAACTGTTGAACACGGAAGAATCTCCCATGACCTTTTGTAATGTAAACGGAAAATCAGCCATCGATTTAATGATGGTAAGCCCCGATCTTCTCCCGCTAGTCGCAAGCTTTAGTATAGACAACGAACGACCCACAGTGATCATGCATGGATCACTCTAGAAATAACTCATGCAAAGTCCTTTGTGAGAAAGAACAGAAGAAGGCGCATAAAATTAGATGGGACATGTGGAAAAGCGTTAAAAAGCGTAGTGCAAAGCGAATTAATTGTGCGACATTCTGAACTCCTATGGCCTGCAAAATCGCAGGATGAAATTGACGGTAAAGTGGCATTAATTTCGACAATTATGGGAAATCAAATCAGGTGCCTTGAGGGGACTCATCTCAACACCCGTTGGGTGGAGGGAAATAAAAGGGACTCATCTCAACACCCGCTGGGTGGAGGGAAATCAAAGGGACTCATCTCAACACCCGCTGGGTGGAGGGAAATAAAAGGGACTCATCTCAACACCCGCTGGGTGGAGGGAAATCAAAGGGACTCATCTCAACACCCGCTGGGTGGAGGGAAATCAAAGGGAGTCATCTCAACACCCGCTGGGTGGAGGGAAATCAAAGGGACTCATCTCAACACCCGCTGGGTGGAGGGAAATCAAAGGGAGTCATCTCAACACCCGCTGGGTGGAGGGAAATCAAAGGGACTCATCTCAACACCCGCTGGGTGGAGGGAAATAAAAGGGTCTCACATCTCAACACTTATTGGGTGGTGTAAAATACAATCCAGCACTTAGAAATAAACACAATGTTCAACTTACTACTAAGAGTGTAGACGTTCTCCTCCGACCGATACGTACTCGAACGTGCCCACGTGGGCTAGCCCTGATAATTCACTGTTTCCCAAGTCCAACTGGGAATAATCAAATAGCTTATGTTGTATTTCATTTTTCACTTCGGGAATTATTTCCCATACCGGCTGGCAAAACGATACGGACGTCGGCACGAGTAGAACTGACCGTTTCCGCACATGCCACGAGGCTGCGTAGTACATCGTGCGCAGAATGCGCCAATGCCGTCTTTATCGGGCGGCTTTTTTATTATTTTATTACTTATATTAAACATTATTGATATTTGTGTCTTTTAGTGGTATTTCTTTTAGGTGAGATTTGTTGGGTGTTTGGTGTTTTTTATGTGGAATGGTGGCACAGTTTGATTTTCCTTTTGACCGCCATTTTGTTTTCAAATTTGAAAAAAATGTGGGTTTAGTGAAAAATACTTTCGTTTTTTTAATTTTCTTTATATAAAAGCTTTCATTGAAGGTAGATTAAGTCTTAAGTGTTGATTCTATGGATCTACAAAGTGTGCCTGGATCTGCTGGAACGTGCGATCTTCCGTCTCAGGCAGCCTCATGTAGGTGTAGACAGCTCCTAGCAGTCCAAACGATCCGAACAGTATGAAGACTCCAGACAAGCCCAGGATGTCTTCCATGCCGAGGAAGATCTTAGTCGCTAGGAAGCCGATGATGTAATACGCCGCCGCGGCAATCCCTGTCGCCATGCACTTCCCGCTAAAAATAAAAAATAAAAATCATTTGAACTTGTACATTGTCATAAAGGTCTAGAGGTTTACTGTAAAGGGTAGATTTCGCTCTGTAGCATCCAAGGGATCGGAGCGAGTCCGACGCAGGAGAGGAATGACATGGCGAGAAATACGGGCAGCGACCATGACCTGTCCAAAGATCCAGAAGCGACCGAGGCGAGCAGAAAAGAGCAGAGGGACGAACCTAGTAATGAAAAGAGCGACAGGGCTCTTTTTCCGACCTGGCTCACGCTGAACATGCACGCGGCGTAGCCTATGAGGCCGAGGATGGCTACGGTCACGGCAGCCTTGTTGATGTCCATAGTGACATTCAGCTCTTTCATCACTCGGACGAGGTAGGGTCGTAATGTCGCCATCCCCGACGCATAGTAAAAGAAGAATAACGAAACTGTTAAAATCAAAGGCCTCCTTATTTCAGGTCTCAGGAAGAAAACGATCCTCTGTTTGATTCCAACGCTTGTTATAGCCCCATGTGTTTCTGCGATCTGGGTTTTGACGGTTTTTTCATCGGCGTTGTAGTTGACGATGCGGTCGAGTTCTTCTCTGACGTCTTCAGGGCGGACCCAGCCTCTGAGCCAGCGTAGGGATTCTTCGGCCCTTTCAACTTTGCCCCGGGAAACGAGCCAGTGAGGGGACTCAGGCAACTGAGAGACCGCGACGACCGTCAAGATGGGTACGGTCGCGCAGATCGCCGCCGTGTATCTCCACGTCATGACCGAGCCGACCGAGTAAACGACGGCGTAGGCGGCAAAACCGCAAAACTGGACGTAGGAGGTGAGCGTCCCACGGTACAACGGCTCGGTTATCTCTCCGACGTATGTGAGTAGGGGAGCTTCCGTGCAACCGACTCCGAAGCCCATGATGGCACTGGCGGCGTACAGGGTGGAAGGTGACTCGGCGTAGAAAATCATCGTCCAAGCAGTGAAGAAGGGGATGTTGAGGAGGAGCAGTGACCTCTTCCGACCCAGGGGCTCCATGACCATTCCATAAAACACGCTTCCGATGGGTTGACAGATCAAAAACATACTCGCTAAGAAAATCAAAGAAAAAACAACAACAACAAAATAACATAAAAACAAACGCAAAAATTAAACAACCGACCGAACCAAGACGCTTCATCTGCAGTCAAACTCAAATCGCCGTCGTTGTTCATCAGAGCGACGATCACGATCGTCGGAAGAGAAAGAGCGAGGCTGTTGTCGAACAATATGAAATTATTCGCCGTGCATGCCAAAATCTTCAAAAAGTATAAATAAATAAATAAATAAAACAACGAAAAACAAAATCACATTCACCTGAGGAAAAAATCTTCTGAAGTTCCATTCCGCTCTCGCCTCCTGGCCGGTCTCATCTTCCCGGGTGGATGAATTTTCTGTGCCATTTGGATCCCTGACAAATCAGTTTCATAGTTGATTGATCTGTTTGTGGTTTTTTTTCATAACTGATTGATATGTTTGTGAATTTGTCAAAAGATTGTTGTAGATGTTTCACACTTGATTGATTTGTTTGCGCATTTTTTTCCATAAATGATTGATTTGTTTGTGTATCTCTTATATTGGATTGATCTGTTTGCGGATTTTTTATAACGATCGATTTGTTTGTGAATATATCAAAATTGATAGTTGTAGATGTTTCAAAATTGTGATTGATGTAATTGTGCCTGGTGGTTGGCTGATTAGTTTGTGAATATTACATACCTACTTGATCGATTTGTTTGTGGTTATGTCACATAATTAATTTGTTTTATATAATTGATCGATTTATCTCATGGTGAATTGATTGGTTCAAGTTTCCATAGTTGATTGATTTTTTGTGAATTTTTCATACATAATTGATTTGTTTGTGGATCTCTCATAGTTGATTGATTATTTATGGTCGTTTGACACATACTTAACTTTTCGTGATTTTTTTTCCGAAAACACTGATTGTGAATATAGTTGATCTTTTTGTTTGTAGATTTTTGATAGTTGATTGATTTGTTTACGGATTTTTAATAACGGACCGAACTGTTTGAGAATATCCCATAATTGATTGATTTGTATGTAGATTTTTTCGTAGTTAATTGATTTGTTTATGGCTGTATTCATAGTTGATATATTTGTTTGTGGATGATCGCCAGTGATTGATTCGTTTGTGGAAAAAATTTCATGATTGATCCATCTGATTTTATTTTTCTTACTTAACTGATTTGTTTGTGAATTTCTTATAGTGGATTGATTTGTTTATGGATATAGGTGATTGGCTCATAGTTGATTTGTTTTTGGATATAGGTGATTGTCTTGTTAGTGGATTTTTCACAGTAGATTGATTTGTTTGTGGATTTTTTTTTGTATAATTGATCGAACTGTTTATGGATGTCTCCCAGTGATTAATTTCTTTTATGTTTCCAAGTTGATTGATTTGTTTGTGATTTTTTTCATAATCAACTGAATTGTCTTGTATTTTGTCCATAATTGTTGGATTTTTTTGTGTAGTAAACATAGTCGATTAGACATCTTAGAATCAGACTTTTGCCGTCTTTTCCCCTCCTTTTTATCACGGCGATTGTTTAAATTGACATTTAAAAAAAAGTGTATATAAAGCAAGCATGAATTTTGAAGATGTATTTTTCCTCTCTTTTCTTAGGCTTTTGTGTTCGTTAATCTGTGGTTGTTTATACAATTGGACCTAAAATCACTTCGATTCTACTCACATCTCATCTCAGGCCGTCAGTCGAGGTGTCACTTTTCGAACTAGACTGAGCGGATATATTGGAACTTTTTATTTTTTATTTGTCACCTTTACAGCTTTTATCGAAAATAAAGCCATAAAAAGACGCCCTTATCGACTCGCCAGAGGCTGAATTCACCCAGAGGGGGGGGGGTCTGTTTCCGATTGACTTTTCTGTTTTGGTAAATTCTCATAAACGACTCACTCGTCAGGTCATGCGACTAGTACTATCTCCGTCCATTTTGGCCCAATAGCTCCATCGTCCATTTTTTTATTATTTTTACTCCTTATAATTTTCTTTACCACACCTCCTTATTTATTTATTTTTTTAAACTATTTAGTTTAACCTGCCTATCTTCTTTGTAAATATCATGAGGCGGAAACGGACTGAAAGAGAAAACTTAAAAATTGGGTTATTATCTGCTGTTAAGTGAGTTGTTTCACCAGGGAGATGACGCTGTAAACAAGTGTATCACCAGGGAGATGTCGTCATAAGAGAATTGATTCACCAGGGAGATGACGTCATAAGCGAGTTGTTTCACCAGGGAGATGTCATAAGAGAATTGTTTCACGAGGAAGATGACGTAAGCGAGTTGTTTCACCAGGGAGATGATGTCATAAGTGAGTTGTTTCACCAGGGAGATGACGTCATAGGCGAGTTATTTCACCAGGGAAATGATGTCATAAGTGAGTTGTTTCACCAGGGAGTTGACGTCATAAGCGAGTTGTTTCACCAGGGAGATGACGTCATAAGCGAGTTGTTTCACCAGCGAGATGATGTCATAAGTGAGTTGTTTCACCAGGGAGATGATGTAAGCGAGTTGTTTCACCAGGGAGATGATGTCATAAGTGAATTGTTTCACCAGGGAGATGACGTCATAAGCGAGTTGTTTCACTAGGGAGATGATGTCATAAGTGAGTTGTTTCACCAGGGAGTTGACGTCATAAGTGAGTTGTTTCACCAGGGAGATGACGTCATAGGCGAGTCATTTCACCAGGGAGATGATGTCATAAGTGAGTTGTTTCACCAGGGAGATGATGTCATAGGCGAGTTATTTCACCAGGGAGATGACGTCATAGGCGAGTTATTTCACCAGGGAGATGTCATAAGAGAATTGTTTCACGAGGAAGATGACGTAAGCGAGTTGTTTCACCAGGGAGATGATGTCATAAGTGAGTTGTTTCACCAGGGAGATGACGGTGAAGGCGTCAAGATCTGTTCTTTCAATCCCTAGGGAAAAAAATGACTCATAAAAAGACATCTTATTTTGACTTTATAATAAAGAACTTAATAAAAAAATAATAATTAAAAAACACACATGGACACTTATTGATATATCAAGTTAAATTTAAAGTGATAGATAGTTTTTATTAGTTTTATTTTTGTTTATGTCCTAACATGCGTTTCTCGAAAAATTTATACGAAAAAATACCTAATAAAAATTAACAACACAACAATTTCTAGTCTTTTAGAATAGTATACACTTTTTTTTCTATTTATTTTATTTTTTAACAAAAACGTGATTGTCGCTTCTCTGATCGTGTGACTAGTGGAAGGGTGATTTTGTGGCCTTTACGTATTTAAAACGACGAATTAAAGGCCCCGTAGTTGAATTATTAATTTTAAAAAATGAATATACGTACATTAAGAATTAAGAAAAATTAATAAAATATGTGTTGTGTGGCACTGTCGAGTCTGACTGACACTAGTGCTTTCATTCAGAATACGATCCGAATGCAACTTTTGTTAAGCCTTCTTTCTCTCTCTCCGTTTTGAACCTTTTTATTTGCTGTTTATCCCCGGCAATAAAACTTTTACATGATGCCTGTTAACCTTTTTGTCAGCGAGGGGTGAGGAAGAGGGAAAGAAAAGAAGTAGGAAGTGTCGATGGGCAATAAAGAAATAAATATTTTTTTAACTTTTTTTTTTAATTTAGGGGTAACATTAATCAAAATCACAGTATAATAAGCGAAAACAATTTGAAAAACCTATCATATAACAATTAATATCTTTTTAATAACGTAAACAAATCGATTAAACCTAGAAGGCGAAGCAAAGCAATTTTATTAACTCTGTCATAAATATACAATATAAATTTATTATTATATGTACAATTAAATTTAAAAAAAAATAAATTACTTAAAAAATTAAAAAAAAAAAAAGATAAATTAATAATTCTTTTTATTTTATTTATTTTTTGTTCGATATATATATTTTTATGTTGAAAGACTAAAAATCTTCTATGAATGATCTTTTTTCCTCTCTCTCTCCATCTCTAGAAAACAAAAGAAAAATCAGCCTTTTTCTTTCGGGTTTATTTTTCCAAAAGCAAAATCACAATCTTTGGTTTTTAAAAGTTTTTTCTTTTTTTTTTTGTTTTAAAGTTTATTCCCAAAATTCATTTATACTAAAATAAATACACTTGGGCGTGGTACGTTCTCGAGCTTACTAGGCAGGGGAAATCCCTCCAAAATGTGCATCAGCTGCTTGACCTAACAAAAATCAATTCAATAAAATAAAAATAAAAAAATGAAAATCTACGGGATGAGCGTGAGAGTTTAGAGCGAGGTCAGGTATGTGATGATGTTCTGAAACGGCCTGTCGAGCGATTCCTGTTCATCTGCACACTGTGACCAGTTACAACTGACTTCCTTGTGCTTGTAAATTGTCTGTAAAAAGAAAACAAAAATTATCCATAGTCTTTATAATTAATTATTAAGTGTTACTTTAACGAGTTCTGGCTTCGTTTGAGTCATGAAGTTCAAGAAGTTTGACTTTATTTCATCTGAATAAAAGTAGAGGATCCAGTCGTTGGCTTTGTCCTCGACTTCGTGGCAATCGAGCTCAAGGACGAGGTAAGCGTGGCCAGTGAACAAGGTGCAGACGTCTTTCATGAAGACCCTGCTTACAAGCCTGTCTTTGGTCGAGTTGATGAGGGCGAGGGTACCGTCTGTCGCTATCAAATAATGACCTCTGTCTGAGTCAACCGGTGCGATGTCTTTTTCGTTTTTCTTCGAAGCGACTGCTACGAGTATGGCTTGCATCCAGGACGACATTGAATCGCTGTCAGGCGCCGCGAAGAAGACGATCAGCCTGTCCCTGGGTGACTTCCTGTCAAATCGCAGTTTGAACGTGTACGGTCGCTCGGACGAGATGCACCGGTCGCATACAGTGCACTCACTCAACGGCAAGCGGAGGTTCTTGCGGCCTTTCGCGCATGGCCTCAACTCCAACTCGCACCTTGAGCTATAAAACAAAAAGCGAGATGATCATTTATGATAGAATTACGTATAATAAAAAATCATTTCAACACTTACTTGATCTCGACCATAGCCGGTTCCCAAAAGTTGCCGCTCATGCCGACAGAAATCATCAAGTATTGACTATACGTCCGGTCATCATTACAAAACGGGTCACAAATGACTGCCCATGTTGTATATATTATATTCAAACACTAAAACAAACAAAAATAAATTCAATTTATTATTTATTTATTGTTTAATATTTTTTTCGTGTATTTCTATTATGAACCCTCGGAGTGCGACGTTTTAAAAAAAGCCAGGATTTGAACCAAGGACCTTTACCTTAAGATGGCCATTCACGATCACTCCAAATGGAACCGGGCCAAGCCGTACAGCTCCATTTGGAGTGCCTGAAATTTAAGGGGGCATTCACAACCGCTCCACATCCAGTCGCTCTTGTGCTATTCTTCTGTTTATTTACATATTAAAACAAAAAATCGAAGAGGAAATGGTGTAAGAAGTGGCTCCTGAACAGAAGCAGTAATAGCCACATCAATTTGATCAAAGATCCTTTCCCTTGAACCCGCTGATTGGAGGAACTATTTAAGGATGGATGAAATGTCTTATTTATTCATTATATTTAGTGTTCTATTGACCAAATTACTTCTTTCAATTATTTAATCTTTTTTGTAAGGTTTTGGTTGAAATGAAAAAGCTTGTGTTACGAGTGGGATCTGAATCCATGGCCTTCGGCTAAATACGCCGCTGCTCTACCACTTGATCTATCATGACTTCGATCCTCTCCGACACCAAAAAATGGCAAAAAGAGAGACAATTCGAAAGGTTGTAGGTTGAGATGGGGAGTTGGTGCCCGAGTGGATCGAACTATCGAAGTCAGGATAGCTCAAGTGGTTAGCCGAATGTCTTGGATTCGAATCATTTCAACCAAAACCTTACAAAAAAAAAGATTAACGTCTTATTTATATTTACTCCAGTTTGTTATCCCCTTGATTAGAAAACAAAAGACAGTCATGAGAGAAATCATCACTACATGAAAGGTTGGCAACCACATTACGATTTCTCGCTACAGGGATGAACTACAAAGAACTTAAGTTCTCTACTACGATTTCTGATCATTGTTAGGGGTTATCAATACCGCATCTCTCGTTGCATTTTCGACCAATTGGTTGAGAATCGAATTTCTTTTATTTCTATCGTGGTAATATAATCATTGTCCACCATTTTCATAAACATGGTAAACTTTCATACAATTCAATCACCTCAACAATAAAATCTTGATTGGATGTCATTACCAATAAATAATAAACGTTTTTGACTTTTTGAGAATGTACGACGGAGATGTTTGCTCAGTGACAGAAAGATGGAGACTGCGCCAAAAAAATGGTCCCATTCACGACCAGGCCAGCACGCCAAAATCCCCACCCTCCACGCCAGGTTTTCCCATTCACGAACGCGCCATGCCATCGTCGTGCCGTAGATATTCGGGTGAATATTCGGCACAGCCGGGCATGCCAGTTCAGTTTTGCCATTGACGTCGTTTTTGGAACGGTGTCGCTCCGTTTGGACTGATAGGAGCGATCGTGAATGGCCACCTTTACTGTGGTAAATGCTGTAACAACGCATAAACCATTATGGCTACCAATTTCAGGCTGAATACGTATGACTTTCATGCAATTTGAAGTCTAAGACCTCTGATTTTACTGGTCTGTCAAGCGTAAAAGTAACATTCATCGCTTACCCTTGGAAAACTCCAATAATGATGATAAATATCTTTTTAATTTTTTCAATTTACAAAATAAACGATAAATCCCATACAAAACACAAATTTAAGTTTAATATTTATCCTAGTACCTTTAATTCCGCGTAATTTGAAAGTACCCTCGTGAAAGCGTCTTCAGGGGTGATACGGATGAAGTCCAAAACCTTTGCCGTCTCTTTGTAGACGGCGTAGTGGAGCCACGAGCAAAAATCCTCGCCCCGGGTCGTGATCAAGAACCTCTTGCCGTCCTGAAGGGTCAAGTGTTCCGGACTTGGGCCGACCTGTGTGAAATGCATTAAAAGGCAAATTTAAAAAAAAAAAAATTATATTGAATGTAATGCTCACCCCAACGTATTCCATGTCTTTGTACAGTATTCGGTGCATGTTCATTACCCGGTTATCCGTAAGCGTTATGAAGCAGAGTTCGTGCATCGCCAAGAAGCATACGTACGAATTGCTCTCGTTATCTATCATATTGTACATCTGAAACGATGTTTGATTATTTAAAAAAAAAAAGTGAGAAAAAATTAGTGACCGTTAATCGATAATTATTCAGAAATTGTGAGGCACTCTCAACACGACACGTAAGAATGGCACAATTACACAGAAGACAAACACTTTGAGCCCTGAAGATGATCTCAAGATCGAAACGTTGGCACGATAAAGAAAATCAACCTACATCACACCAGACCGCATCTCACGATTTCTGAATAATTATCGATTAACGGTCACTAATCACCACACATTAAATCTTGTGATCTCCGGAAGTGACCAAGTAGAAAGTGAAGTCTTGCGATAAAGTGCACAGAAATTTCAAGACAATTCTTTGAATTGGTAATAATCACATGGCTCATTCCTCTAATCGGGTGATGACATGTCTAAATATGACCCTTTACTTTATGAGATGACAGTTTGATATCAATGCTGACACAGTCCGCCCATCTACGATTCAGATGATTAACTAACTAGCTCTTGAGCCGTGGTTAACGTCCCGATCAACAAAATCAAAAGCCTTAAACGTTCACGGAAACGTTCTTCTTCCCCCTCGGGAATTTTTCAAAGTAGGATAATCCCTCGGTGGAGGAGCAGGTAGAAGAAGGAAAAAAGGAGAAGACATCAACAAAAAAGCTGTTTATCTTTCTTCTTCCTGTTTTAAGGTTTTATTTACCCCGCCTACTAATTCACCCGGGCGGAAGATTGATATATAATTTAATTAGAGTTTTATTGTGCCTCGCCTACCTATTGGCCCGGTCTGTGTGCAAAAATGAACCTCCAGGCGACATCTGGCTACGCCCCGGCACAAAGCCCGTTTTCCCCATTTTATATTTTATACACGAGGTGATAATTTTTTTATTATATTTTATTCGTTAATGCTTTAAATAGCTGGAGGATCCTTGCCGGTCAGAGATAAGAAAATAATAAAATTTAATAAAATAAAATAAAAAAATTGAGAATTTTCTATTTTGCCAACCTTGTAGATGCTCGTGTTTAGGAATCGCTCCAGGCTAGACATACGTTCTGGCAGGCGCGTTGCGATCCTTTCAGCATGGAGTTCTGTATCGTCAATATGATCCGGCATTTCTATTTCGACAGCGCCCGGATAAACGGCCATGAAGTGGATGTTCCTGGAGCGTCCAAACGGCTTGCGGCGTTTCATGGTACGTTTCAGTGGCTTGACCTGCCTCTCGGATTTCATCTCAACTAAAAATTAATTAAAAATTAAAAGTAAAAAAAATGTTTGCCTTGTTAATCGCAAAAACTTAGTACTTCACCCTATAGTGCCTACTCACTTCCCAACAACAGGTCAAACCCCAGATGTTCTTGACATTTTCCTCGGTAAAAACATCTACCACTTAGGGAATCGCCCAGAATTACTCCATGACCTCTCATCTGACCATTTTCCAGTAAGGCTAAACATTTCCATCACACCCCAACATGTCAAAAAACCCTCATCCCTAATGCACTATCCTTTCAACTGGGAACTTTATCAAACAACCCTAGAAGCTTGACCAACCTTAGAGTGCCCCTAAAAACCCCGGAAGATATCGACAAGTCTGTGGCTGAACTGACATCTAACATCCAAGCAGCAGCAATAGTAGCAAGTTCCCAAAAGATAGCTCAACCAAGGAACAAATCAAAGTAAAAAACAACACCTCGTATAACACAACTGTGCAACGACAAAAAAGCATCCCGAAGACAATGGGAGCGCACCAGACATCCAGAAGACAAAACTCGTTATAATAAAGCAACAGAAGAGTTAAAGAAAGCATTGCAAGAAAAAATCAACAAGCGCATAACCGAAGAGCTACAGACTTTAAAACGAACAGATGGATCCCTGAGGAAAAAAAACCAGACGGCTTACTAAATGCTCGGCCCACATACCGCCTCTCCTTTGCGGCGATAAATGGCAAATCCTGTCAAAAGAAAAGGCTGAAACATTTTCACAATGCCTAGCTGACCACTTTAAGCCAAACCAAACCACGTATAACAACGATAAGCAAATGGAGGAGAAACTATCTCAGCCGCTACAACTTTTTCCCTTTTCGGACTTTTTCTCTGCGCAGGTTAAAAGAGTGATTGCAAAAACACCAACTAAGAAATCACCAGGGGGCAGACCTGATCACCCAACCCCTTCTGAATAACTTACCAAGGAAAACACTTGTACAGCTCACCCAAATATTTAATGCCATGCTCAGGACTTATTTTCCCTCAAGTGGAAGCTTGCCCACATAGTGATGATCCCCAAGCCACAAAAGGACAAATCAAATCCGGAAAATTATCGGCCAATAAGTTTACTTAGCATTATTGCTAAAACTTTTGAACGGCTAATTCTCCCGACCCTCATGAAATACCTGAAGCCACTGATCCTAGATCATCAATTTGGTTTCCGAGAAGGACACTCCTGCCCACAACAGCTCCAGAGGGTAATTGACAACATCCTCGATGCCTTTGAACATAAAAAAGTCACGCTGGGGTTATTTCTTGATACAGAGAAAGCTTTCGACAGAGTATGGCATATAGGACTATTAGCAAAAATAAAAGATAGCCTACCGACTTATCCTTTCCTACCTGTCGGAAAGAACTTACTGTGTCAAAGTACAGGATGGCATCTCTAACCAAAAGCCCATATTTTCTAGTGTCCCACAAGGCAGCATTGTGGGGCCTCTCCTCTATTTGGTGAGCGTGAGTGATCTCTCATCCCAAATCCCAGGAACAGTCGACAGCACTTTTTGCTGATGATGTGGCTATATTGAGCACAGGAGAAACCAGCGCAGAGGTACAACAAACCCTGCAACAAGTCACTGACCAAGTTTCTGAATGGGCGGACAAGTGGAAAGTCAAGCTAAACTCAGATAAATCAAAATTAGTCCAGTTCACTTATCTGAAAAAAGCCAGTGAACAACTGGTACTAAATAATAAGAATATCAGTGAATCGACACACACAAAATATCTGAGTGTTACTCTTGACCGGAGGCTGATTTGGCATCAACACATAAGCGATGTGCTAAAGAGATCACGATGCAGACTAATTGACCTCAAACCACTACTTAAGAGCCCAACTATCAGTCTGAGCAACAAAAGACTAATATATATGTCCCTCATTCGACCCATATGGCTATATGGCTCTGGTGTTTGGGCCTCAGCGTCGAACAGCCAAATTAAGAGAATCCAGACATTTCAAAACAGGGCCTTACGGATTTTAACTGGAGCCCACTGGTATGTGCGAAATACCACAGTGCACCGAGACCCAGACATTCCTCTAGTGGACCGTGCACTGAGAGACAGCTACCGGAAGATGTTTAGCAAGTTCCAGTCCCACCCTAACACAGAAATCCAAGGGATACCGGACCACCTACCTCCTGCACGCCCACACCGCAGACTCAAGCGCAAGCGACACACCGATATGTTAACTAACTATAACTAACTGTGATAAACTGTGATTAAATTAGATTAAATCATGTGTAAATAATTTAAATATTAATAATAATTCTAAATAATTAATGGAGGGAGCTGCTGAGCTTAAGGATCCAAGAACTGTTTGATGCTGTTAAACATTATGCCACAACTATAAGTACTATGTACAAAAGTTTAAATAAATAAATTTTAAAAAAGTTTTTTTTTTTTAAATTGGCATACCGAAAGCCTGTGGATCTTCTGAACCTTCTGGAGCACCGCGCTCCATGTTCAAAGCGTCCTCGCCTTTCTCGCCGGCTGTGATGAGCCCTGCTTTCCACCACGCCATCGTTTCAACGTCGCATGACCTCCTCTCCCAAATCGTACCTTTCGAGTCTGAAATTATTTAAAAAAATAAATAAAAATACTATGTAAAAAATGAACGGTAATAAACAGATTACCTTCACCCATGACTGTTTCGTGGAACGACACCCGCTTCCTCCTTTGTACAGCCTTGGCCAGAGGCTCTGTGGCACAGCTGAGGCTGCAGTCCGAAAAAGCGGCTTCAACTTGGGTCAACGTTGAATCCGAGGAGCATAATTTCTTCAAAAAACATTAGATTTTTTTTATATTTCAAACCAAAAAAACAAGAAAAGATTGTCAATACTTTGTTCAAATCAAAAACGCCATCAGACGTGTCATCCATTGACTCATGGAGACCTGAATCGCCGGGCGAGCTGATTGTGGAACTTGGCGTCGAGACGATGGTTTCTTTCGAGTTCTTATGGAACTCGAGCCTCAGTCCGACACACGTTGTTGAATCCTAAACAAAAAATAGATAATTAAAAAAAAGCAATACAACAAAAACTTGATTAAAAATACTTACCAAAGGTGTAATATTGACCTGAGCCAAAGAAGTCAATAATAATATAAACTTAGTTACGCAGAAATTATCCCGAAGTAGTGCATAATCCAAATAGTTCCTGTTCAAACATTCTCCGTCGGAGACTAAACAGTGCATATAAGAGTCAAGCGACCCTTCTATCAGAGTATAATAAATCCAAAAGAGACCTGAATAATTTTTAAAAAAATCACTTTTTTGTTAACGATTTTTGTTTTTTGTTTAGATAGTTACCTCGTTGCTGATTGTCATGAATGTGCTTGAGAGATCGAGCGAGGCACTGACGCGTGCTCGAATGAGTCAGGTCGCGAACTATATGCCAAAAGCTCACCTTCGGCTCCCTAAGTCCGTGCTTGAGTATCTCGGCAACCGAACGAACGACGAGGCTTGCCAAGCCGACGCCTTTCTCTTCTGTTGATACAACCTAGAAACGTTTTGAAATACGAAATGTCAAAGGTTGAACAATTTATCTGGTCGAAGGGAAAATGAGATTTCTATATTATTGGCCTGTCATTTAAACACATGTTTTTACACTGCAAATATAAAATATATATATATATATATATATATACTTTTATGGCGATGGCCTTTGGCCAAGGAGATGTCATTATAATAAATTATTATCATTATTGTATAATTTATTTGTGATAAGGACTTATCTGTGTCAGTTTCCTCATCAAGTCAATATTGACATCAGTTGTGACACAAAGGTCCTTCTGAACCTTCAAGGTAAGGCTATCTCTAGGGTGAATCCACTCATAAAATTTAATAAATACGGACAGAAAACAAAAAAGAAAACAACTGTGCAGCCTGTTTCTTCAACAGGTCAATATTGAAATGAGTAAAAGCCAACCTGAGACTTTTCAAGGCTTATTTTTTGGTTATAAAGCCAATACAAAAAAGGCTTATTTTTGCATTAATTAGCAATCAAAAAAAAAATATTCAATTAACAACAAATATAAATACTGGGAAAAATTTGAAAGAACTTATGTGGTCTGTTTTCTCGCCAAGTCAATATTGACATCAGCCCTGGTAAGACGTCTCATCCTTTTATGTTTCTGGGCCTGATTCTTTCTTGGCCAATTAAAACTAAAATTAAAAATGTTGAAAACAAAAAGGAAAAATTGTAAAAATAAAAACAGTGCCTTGTAGATTTTTAGAGCCTGTATCATCAAAAAGTCAATATTGACATCGGTTGTGAAACAAAGCACTCCGGTTTTTGTCAACCTTGAGGGCCAGGCTGTTTCTGCAGTCAATCGGCAAAAAAAAAGCCGACCATAGACATTTCAAGACTTCTCTTTGTGTCAATTAGTAATAAAATTAAATAAATCTAAATCTATCAGAACGAAATAGCGCTGCAATGTTTTTTACGAGGAACAGACGTACCCAACCAACAAGTATAAAATGTGGCACCTTAAAGATAAAAACATGCAACACACAAGTTCTTGGGAGTTATACTCGATAAAAAATTGCTCTGGAAACCCCACATTGAACGTACAGAATCGAAGAGTGAAAAAGCATTAAATGTGCTAAGATGTATAGCAAGGATAAAATATGGAGCACACCCCAATGTATGTACGCTCATTTATAAGTCGCTGGTCCAGTCAAGATTAGACTAAGGGAGCATCTTTTACGCAAACGTAGCGAAAACTCATTTAAGACGAATCGGCAAGGTACAGTACAGAGCCCTGAGAAAACAAATGAAATCAACACCCACCAGCTCTCTACAAGTCGAAGCCATGATATCTCCGCTCAGTGTCAGAAGACAAATGTTTGCCGGCAAATTCTTGGCTAAGCGAATTAACATCGACCACCCAGTAATGAGAAGCCTTGACAAACTAGCTCCTACAAGACTAACAGGATTAAGATCACCAACCCACCAAAAGTTACACCTCCTTCTAGACACACACATGAAATTGAAGCGGTTAGTATTGGGAAAATCGATATTAGGACCTAGGCAATTGGAGACCCCAAGATTTTGGACCATTTTATCTTGGGGAGTGATTTGGTGGGATACCAATTATGAAGAGGTCTTCTCAGTGGGCAGTGGCCCGTCAGAATACCTATCAGCCTCCTAATTCCCTTCCTTGAGATAGAGAATAGCCATTTTGATTCTGCTGGTTTGATCACCTTAACAAACTCTTTCGATTGCCTATGTCCGGGGGATAAATTCCACTCCCTAAGGAATTGTTTCATGCCCCAGTTATTGATACTCTCTTTCGCTGTGCTCATAGAGTGGGGTAATATCGGTTGTGGCCCAACACAACCCCGACCCGGTGCCCGACCAGGCACCTCCCCGCGGTCCATGGTCCATCCTGGGCATGGCTGCAGCCGTGGCTAACGCCTGGTGACGTGAGGGTTGGGCCTTCAGGGGTATATGGTTGCACAACCATCCTGTGTAAGTCCGGAAACGGACATAGGAACAGGCAGCCTTAGACCTTTGAAGGTTGTGGCCCAACAAACGCAGTATTAGAACCTTCTTTAGCTAGGCCATCCGCCTTTTCATTGCCCTGGTGTCCTTTATGTGCAGGTATCCAAATAAGGGTTACCTTGTTCTCAAACCTAAAAGTGATCCTATTGATAAGATCTATAGTTTCCTCCAACAGTCGTGAGGTTGACAAATCTTTTTGTAATGCCCTAAGACTAGCCTGACTGTCAGAAAAGATTTTAATATCTTTTCCCATAATTTTATTTTCCATCAGTATTCTACAAACACATTGATGGCCCAGATTTCCGCCTGAAAAACGGAGGTGTTATTGCCAAGAGGGGAGGAGATGCTGATTCCTAATTTTGGTATGTAAATTCCAGCACCACTCCCTCTTCCTTTGATAAGTGATCCATCTGTGTACCAGTCTATGTTACGATGGTCATCATCCAGACTATAATCATAATCACAAGGGGTGACTACCTGAAAGTGCTTTTTCCCCGAAGGGGATTTAAATTAATAACAACATGCAATAGCAAAGCACATATAAATAAAATGGCCAAACAGAATTGGCAAAAAGAATACGTCGAATCCAAACGAATTAAAGGGAAATACTATGCAAGAATGCAACCCGCTATTCCTTATAAGCCATGGTTCCACAGACTTACTAGACCAAGGAACTTTTTCACTACCATTATCAGACTTAGACTTAACCACAACCAACTTCCGCACCATCTAGCAAAAATATCCCTAATAGAAAACGCAAATTGCGACTGTGACGGAGAAACATATGCCGACCTGGAACATGTGATATTAGCATACCCCAGCAGAAACAAAGGTAGAGAGGATTTATATGAGAATTTAAGAAAGCACAGAGTAGCGTTCCCAACAAATATAGCAACTATATTGAGCGACACTAAAAATATTCCAGTATTTGACAGTTTAATGACCTTTATAAAAAAAAAATGACATCAAAATACAAAAGACAACAACATGTAGTGAAAGAAACATAGTAAATTCTATAGAATGCGGCGACACCAAAGGAAAACACATGACCGATGCATTGATGCAAAGCCAAGGAAAAAAATAAAATAAATAACATAACAAAAATAAAAAATTTAAATCTTTTAGCTGTGGAGACAATATTGACCTCTCACTGCTTCTTTTTGTACTAATTAGCAACTCAATGAAATAAATATTAAAAAAAAAAAAGGAAATATGAAAACTATTTAGTCCTTTATAACATGTTTCGTCAACAAGTCAATAATGACATTAGCCGAGGAAACCATCGGCTCATCCCTTTAACACTTTGGGGCCAGGGTCTTTCTGAATCAATTAAGAACAATTATAAATAATGAAAAAAAATAGAAAGAACCTCCGCAACCTGTTTCAACCTTGAGGGCCAGGCTGTTTCTGCGGTCAATCGGCAAACAAAATTAAATCAATTCTGATGACAGAAAGGAAAAATGAAAAACTGCCTCGCCTTGTAAGCTTCTGTGGCCTGTTTCCTCAACAAGTCAATATCGATATCAGTCGTCAAAAGCCGACCATAGACATTTCAATACTTCTCTATATTCACTAATTTCTTGGTCCGCTTGACCAATTAATACATTAAAATTAATTAAGGTTATTGGTTGTTAAGGTTTTTGAAAAATGGCAAAAAGGAGGGAAAACTGGGTGGGGTTGAGATAGGAAGTTGATGTCCGAGTGGATCGAGGTCACGATAGCTCAAGTGGTAGAGCAGCGGCGTATCAAGCCGAAGATCGTGGGTTCAAATCCCGCTCGTGCCAGTAACTTTTTTTGATCTCAACCAAAAACCTTAATTAATTGCTTCTCTATATGTTAATTAGTAATAAAATAAATTGAAAACAATAGAACAAAGCCAACTGTCAACCTTCTAGGTCAGGTTCTTTTAGTGTCAATTAGTAATAAAATTAAATAAATTTAATACATAAATTAAATAATATTATGAAAATGAAAAAATTAAACCTTTTAGCTTTTTTTTGTGATATCAATATTGATCTTTCAAGGCTTCTCTTTGTGCCTATTAGCAATTCAATAAAATAAATGTTGAAAAAAAAATTAAAAATTAAACATCTTGAGTCCTTTGTAGCATGTTTCATCAATAAGTCAAAATCGATCTTTCGAGGCTTGTTTTGTACCGATTAGCATACAATAAAATAAATATCACAAAAAATAAAACAAAAATGAAAAATCTTGAGTCCTTTGTAGCATGTTTCATCAAGTCAAAATCTATCTTTCGAGGCTTGTTTTGTACCGATTAGCAATACAATAAAATAAATATCACAAAAAATTAAAACAAAAATGAAAAATCTTGAGTCCTTTCTAGCATGTTTCATCAAGTCAATATCAATCTTTCGAGGCTTGTTTTTGTACCGATTAGCAATACAATAAAATAAATATGACAAAAAAATTAAAACAAAAATGAAAAATATTGAATCCTTTGTAGCATGTTGCATCAAGTCAATATCGACCTTTCGAGGCTTGTTTTTGTACCAATTAGCGATACAATAAAATAAATATGACAAAAAATTAAAACAGAAATGAAAAATCTTCCTTTGTAGCATGTTTCATCAACAAGTCAATTCGATCTTTTGAGGCTTGTTTTTGTACCGATTAGCGATACAATAAAATAAATATGACAAAAAATTAAAACAGAAATGAAAAATCTTCCTTTGAAGCATGTTTCATCAACAAGTCAATATCGATCTTTTGAGGCTTGTTTTTGTACTGATTAGCGATATAATAAAATAAATATGACAAAAAATTAAAACAAAAATGAAAAATATTGAGTCCTTTGTAGCATTCATCAACAAGTCAATATTGACATTAGCCGAGTAAACCATCGACTCATTTCTTTGACACTTTGGGGCTCTGGATCAATTAATAACAAATATAAATAACGAAGATAAAAAACAAAAATAGGAAGAACCTCTGCGGCCTGTTTCCTCGACAAGTCAATATTGACATCAGTTGTGAAACAAAGCACTACGGTCTTTGTCACCATTCCGGACCATTTCCACATTCAAACCGCAAACTAAATAGAAATATAATATTAAAAAAGAAAAAAGTTACCTTTCCACAAAAAAGAAAAAAAGTAGGTTTTTCTGCCGTTTTAAACTAGGAGGTCAAAGAAAAAATCAGCAACTAAAAGTAAACAAAGCAAAATAATAAAAACATAAAAGAAAAATGTAAAAAAAAAATTCTACATAAGCGAGAAAGGTTTTGTCAATCAGTTTTTTTTAAATATTTACCAGTTCCATTCCATTTTTTAGGTTTTTCAAAAGGCAGTCGGTGTCTATGATGTCTATCTCTGGCCTTTTCATTTTTTTAAGCCTTTTATTTTATTTCTTTTAGTTATATTTTCCTCTTCAATCTTTCGGCATTGTCGATTCGTCTTTGTTGTCTTCTTCTGCTGTATGTGTTTTTTTTAAATATCCGTCATTGTTGTAGTTTTTTTATGGGTATTTATCTCCTGACCACCACCCTCGGATCTATAGGACGAAACGTAGTCAGCTGATCGTCGAGGTCGAGGGGGAGTGGTTCGGTCAAAGCGAGACCCGACGGGCCTTGTATACAAAATAGAAACGGAAAATCAAAAGAGACGGGTAAAAAAACGGGAAATCCTCCACCTGCTTATCCAGGATGATTGACACAAGAGAAAAACCCACGGAATCATAATACAGTCATCACAGGATGATGGCGAATCGATTTTTCCCATCGTCACTGATTCGTTCCCGCTCTTCGAGAGGGCCGGGAGATTCAATTCAAAATGAAAGATTTACTTATAATCAGGGTCAGGCTAGGGGGTCATGAGGTCATAGGGTCATAGGTGTAAAGTTGGACGTTAAGGAAGTATAGCCTAGAGGGTGGTTACAAATCAATTTTTATGACTGTCTTAAGGTCAGTGAGTTAAGGTAAGAAGATTTGACTCTGGCCTTCTAGCACGAGGTCTGATCAAGTCTTGTCGGTATGGCAGAAATAGGTTAATTATATTGATGGATATGAGGTAAGGAATGGAGGTACTGGCTCTAAGCACAATTACCTAGGACTTGTATAAGTTCAAGCCCAAAGTTGCTGTAAGTATACAGAGTGAGTTATTCAACTATATGTAACACACGAAGTTGTTGAGCCTGATGGTATAACCGACAAACTGCAAAAATTTAAAGAGGCTTTAGCAGAAAATGACCCAATGTCCGAGAGAATAGAAGCGTCAAGCTTTCAGAACTGGTTATACCCAGCAAAAGCATGCCTGCTGAGAGGTCGTGAAATGGAGATTACAAGCAGCAAGCTCTTGGCGTCCAGGTCAGCTATTGAGAGCACCCTTGATGCTCCAGATCACTTCGACGAGTCAGCTTTAAGGATTTTGAGCCCCTGCTTATATACAAGAAATGGATAGGTAAAAACTGGAGTTAACACTTTCTATTTCCAGAGTTTCAGCATATCGGCTACTTTTCCCTGCTATCCTATTCCTGGGTTTGGTGCAGGGCATTCTACTGTTAAGAGCTTTTCAACTCCTTCAGAGGAGAAGCCAGGTTTCTCGAGGACCTGTATATAGTAGTTTTTGGATTTAGCGCATAACTTTATAACTTTGCCGTGCCAAATGGAAAATTAACTTTATCTTATATACTACCAGTCATCACGGGACTTTACTCTCTGTTGCAGTAATTCGGACTTCCAGGCAGCATCCAATTAGTTTGCAACACCCTGTAAGCAAGGGCTCATGTGCTTATTTATTAGGTCAGGCTCGACGATGATCAACACTCATAACTGGAGCAAGCTGCGAGGACCAGTTGCAAGCAGTAAGTCTTGGCTTACTTATTTTTACAAGTACGTCAGCTCTTGAGAGAACCTTTGAACCTTGTGGTGGTCCATTAGCGAGTGGTGAAATCTCGTCGAGTCTGTCTTAAGCAGTAAGCGGGATGACCCCATTGGAAGCTGCCTGAAAGGCCGATTTGCTGAAGCAGAGAGGTAACTTTAGTTAACCACAGGTCTTTAAATTAGTGTCACCTCTGTTGCAGTCATTCCGCCTTCAGGCAGCATCCAATTAGCATGCAACACCCTGTAAGCAGGGCTCACTTGCTTACTTATTGAGCAGAGTCGACGCGATCTGATTAAACACAAAGGCCGAATTGCTGAAGCTATGTAACTAGTTAACCATAAGACTTTACATTTTTATAAGTTTCCACTAGCCTCCGCCTTCCATCCAGCACAAAGTTTACAGCATCCCTGTATATAACCTGGTTATTGTTTAGGGCAGACTGGTCATGGGTACTCTCAACAGCTGGCTGCGAACTCCCCAAGGCCTTTCGCTAGTTGTCATCTTACTACAATCAATAGCTCCTTTCAACACCGGCCCTGGAGGAAACGAAGCGACCCACTGTTAACGCCAAAGCCGGTACCAAGTTGAGGTAGTGTTAACTTCTGACCTGGTTTTATCGTATTTAGGTCAAATTTTTCTTAAGGATACTCGAGCATAATATTGCATGTTAAAAATAAAAGTTTATTTAACATCTGATGTTAAAATGTTTCAGAATTCCTGGCCTGCCCGAAGACCGTTCGGAAAATGGCAAAGGGAAAAGGAAAGTCAGCAGGGCAGGGGGTGTATTTTCGCAGTGCGAGGTCCGGTGAGTCGGTGCTTTTTTTCTCTGCTCAGCCGTGGATCTAAAAAGCCCAGAGAATAGTTTTCCTTGTCAAATAAAATAAAAAATCAAACGAAAAAAAAAAAGAATTTATTTGTATTATATGACTCATGAGGTCTACTCGTTCGGCCCAGATGAGAAACTACCGCGCTTGTGCACCATATGCACTTTTCTCTCTTAATAATTTGATATTTATTTGTTTTTGTTTTTCCCCCCAACCTGAGGAATGGTTACATGAATTCACATTAGATTTTCACACAAAACACGCTTTTTATTTAATCGTTTTTTTACAGAATATATTTTACTTTTTTTATTTCAACATTAGAAAAAACAGACAAAAGATATAGTTCCAAATTCATTTTTTTTTTATTTAAGCTGTTTTTGAAGGGGGAAAATAGTGTATTTTGTTTTGGGGCGATTTAATACTCGGTAAGATGCACTATTCTTCGGTTTGTTGATTATTAGTATTTTTTATTGTTTATTTATTTTTTTTTAAGGTGTTTGAGGTGTGGATTTGTCAGTAATGAATAAAGGTGGGAAGAAAGGCGGCAATAAGAAAGTGAATGGGCCCCAGTCTACGGAGGACGGGAGGTCGCCATCTTCCATGAACCTCCTTGCTGCCCAGCTCGCTAACTGCAGCGGAAACTCGACCCTTTCTAAGCCTGCGAAGAAGATGACGATCCTGAAGAAGAAGGTCGTGAAGAAGGGCGAGGACGAGGGTCTGAAGAACGCCCTCGCGCTCAAGGCAGGCCAGACGGAAGCGGAGCCGAAGCAGAAGAAGATCGCCAAGAGGAAGAAGGACGCGAAGCCGCCGGAGAAGCAGGCGTCCGGTGAGTGCGTCGAGGCGTCTAGGTCGAACACGAGCATGAAGAAGTCGACGAAGAAGTCGTCCAAGGATGAGATCGGCCCCACCCCGAGCAAGGTGTCGCTCAAGGAGAAGCCGAAGGAGTCGTTGAAGACGGTGAAGAGGCCCCAGAGGAAGAACGGGACCGCGGTGAAGAAGGACCCGCCGGTGAAGGAAGCGCGCCGGGCCCTGGATAAAAGGCCGGCAAAGTTCGACCAGCCGGCCGTACGCGGATCCTCCTCGTCGGCCGTTCTCCCGTTCCCCAAGGACGTCATCAAGGATCACAGGGGCGCCAGCCCGGCCGCATCCGCCACGGACGTGCTGAAGTGCGTCTCGTTCCACGCGCCGACACTCGACGAGAACGACTTCTGGGGCAACGCGTGGAAGGACGGCGTCAAGTTCGACCCGACGGCGGACGAGGAGTTCATTTCGAAGCTGAAAAGCTCGGACAAACGCGTCTGGAAGGGGACCAAGTTCAAGAAACGCGTCTCAAGGAGTCCCGTCCTCAGTGAGATAGACGAAGAGCCTGACGAACGATACGTAAATATTTCTCACAACTATTTTCATACCGCCATATTCCCGACACCATATTAACAGCCATAGTAAAAAACAACAAAAAATTTTTAAAAAATCCTCAACGGCTCAGCTGTTGTAACAGATCCCCAATAAGACAAATTACCAACAGTTATCGTCTTTTTTTTAATTTGTGTATGTGTTTTGGCTTGTTTGTCCTCAACGCCCAATTGAACTAGCGTGTACACTAACCAAACAACTATAAACAAACATAAGCAAACTATACACAGACAAAAAGGATGTCTAAAAAACTGAACAGAAATGAACACACAAACAATAAAAAGATCACATAAGAAAACCATAAAACACAGCACAAAAGATTTTTAAAAAACCAACGGAACCCAAAGTGTAAAAAATACACAGCATAAGAAAACAATCAAAAGACAACGAAAAAAGCCACGTTATAAGCAAACAATAAGTACACAGCTTAAGTACGCAAAACAATTTTTTTAACCTATAGAACAAATGAACAACAAAAAGAAACAAGAAAAATCAAATTATAAATCAAAACAGACAATATTATAAAGTCAAAAAAACCAAGCAAATATGAAAAAAGCACATTATAAGCAAACAATAAATCAGACAAAAAAAGGAACAAATGAACACACAACAAACATAAAAAAACAATTAAAGACCTCGTTGTAAACAACGTAAAACTAGCCATATTATAAAAAAACAAAAAAAGGTCACATTTTAAGCAAACAATAAAACAAACAAAATATGTATATTAAAATAAACATTATGAGCAATCAATAAAAAGTCCACATCATAAACAAACAAAAAAATTGTTTTTAACCTACATAACAAATTAACACAGAGAAAAAATAAAAAATACAGCATTATAAGGATAGAAAAACAAGCAAATATGTATAAAAAATTGCGCTATAAGCAAACAATAAAACAGACAAAATAATGAACAAATGAACATACAAACAAACAAAAAAGACCACATTATAAGGACAAAAAGAAAATGTATATTAGGAAAATCACATTATGAGCAAACAAAATATATATAATAAAAAAAACATTACGAGTAATCAATAAAAAGTCCACATCATAAGCAAGCAAAAACAATTTTTTAACCAACAGAACAAATTAACACAAGAAAAAATCAAATTATAAGGGAACAATAAAACAGACAAATTATTTTTTTTTTTTTTAAACCGAACACAAATGAACGCAAACAAAAAACCGCATTATAAGGACGGGGTTTTTTGAATTACATTACAAGCAAACAAAATATTTCAAAAAAAGGAAAACAAATGAACACACAAACAAACAAAATGACCACATTATAAGGGAAAAAAATCACATTATGAGGAACAAGGGCATATTTTAATCATAAAAGGGAACACAAACACAGACAATACAACATTATAAGCAAACAATAAAATGGGCAAAGAAACCAACTTAATACAAATTTACAGACAAACAAACAATTAAAATAACAGGCGAAAAATTTAAACATAAACACAGACTAAAATGTAAAGGGACGAACAGAAAATTTCACTACGCAGACTCTGAGACCCGTTAAACCGGTCATGTCGAATCACAGAGGTGACACTGGATCACCAAGGAAGGTTTTTTTAACTGTGTCCTTTTTCCAGGACCTCGTGCCCGTGAAGGAGAAGAAGTTCGCCCGGGAGAAGAACCCGATCAGGTACGGTCATACGAAATTCGTCCCCGTGAGGCCGAAGAAGAGCATCAAGGAGATCAACAAATGAAGTCGGTGTCAAATAATGAAAAATCGTCGTATATATTTATTTTTTATTTACAAAAGAGGAAAAAATGATAATTTTCTATAATCATTTATTTATTTAGTCTCAAAATATACTATATATTTGAACAACAACAACAACAACAACAAAATGATTGAACAACCTGATTTTTTTTTTAATTTTAGTATAATTTTTGACGTTTTTTTTTTTTTAAATCACCTAGGTGTTATTTCCAGCAGACATAAGTGTTTTTGAAAATGAGAGACCAATTAGGCAGGAAGGGATAAGAAAAGGGCCACCCCTTCTTCTTTTTATTTTTTCGAAAAGAGCGTTATCCCACGGCTCAGGGGGTAGTTTTGTTCTTGAGACGTAGAGGGGAGCCTCCCCTTTCCCTTTTCACTCTTTCTGCCAGTTGCCACCCCTTCTCGCCCTCATTGCCATGCCGAGTCCGCGCCGGTAACGGTCCAGGGGGATGGCCACGTGGCCGAAGAACGAAAATATATCCAAGGTAAATTGACAATAAAACAATTTTTTTAACGTGTAGACCTTTTAGGAAGAAGGCTAAAATTTTCAGGGTAAAAATAGTGAAAAGCGTAGTTTTCTTGTAATTTTTTAAGGCAATTTGTTAATTAATTTCTGTATATTTTATCATGAGAATATGTGAAGAAGGAATAGCTCTCTCTCTCTCTCTCTCTCTCTCTCTCTCTCTCTCTCTCTCTCTCTCTCTCATTCTCCTAAATTTGTACAGACATATTGTCATCAGTCTATACGTTCCACACTTTAATTTATTTCGTAGTGACAGCTTTGTGATTTATACTTCACAATTAGCCCTACAGCGCTTAAAAAAAAGGGATCCCCACACTTTTAGGGTAGAGGCCGGGATCCAGCCTATTCGTGCATGAGAGACTAAAAATTTTAAATCCGAAAAAAGAGTTCTGAAGAAGACATCGTTCACAGCGGATTGACTATAATTAAATAGTGAGTACCCATCCACCCTATTGCATATATTTTTTTTAGAGATGAAATTTCTGTTTACTGGTCCGATCAAGACCTGGGAAAAAAACGAAATTTCACGTGTTTCGTTGTAATGATACAGTTCGTTTACTCTCCTCATATGACGTTATAATTGTAAACCGTACATTTTTATTGTATTATAATTTCTATGAAAATCGAATTTACTAAAACTGAACTGTTAGATATTTGAACCTATTTACAAATTTTCGTTCTCAATTTTATTTTTTCAAATTCTCTCTCTCCCTCCCTCTTTCTCTATCCCTTTCTCACTCCTTCCATCCCTCTCCCACTCTCTCTCTCCCTCTCCCTCTATTCCTCCCTCCCTCCCACTCTCTCTCTCTCCCTCTCCCTATATCCCTCTCTCCCTCTCTCTCTCACTCCCTCTCCCACTTTCTCTATCCCTTTCTCTCTCCTTCCATCCCTCTCCCTCTTTCTCTATCCCCCTCCTCCTCCCCCTCTCACGCTTTCTCTTTCTCTACTTCTTGCTGTTCGCTTCATTCTAAATGCTGAATGGACTCCTTTGAAGTCATGCATGCTCAAACATTGTGTTAAGAGAGGCGGGTTTCACAAGATGAGACCTCATAACACCAAAAATCAAGGTCTGGTCATAAATCCCAAAAGTCAACAATTCCGCGCCTGGTTTTCCTTTCTTCGTTCTTGATAAATGTCTTGAACTATTTTCCGCGATGGTGCGAGGTAGTCTCGTCCTGATTGATCAAAGGATGTAGCCATAAAGTTCAATTTCTTCCCTCAAATGTAGTACATTTCATTAGAGTGAATCCTTGCTATGATTTGGAATCGTATATCGTCTGTACGATCGTTGAGCGTTTTGATAAAAAAGATAGCATTTGGAGCATCGAGGGGCAGATCTGGCATTGGTTTATACAAAGAAAAAAAATCCTGTTTTATAGCTTTTATTATTAAATTTTAGAATTGTCAAATTTACTTTTTATTTTTTTAAATATTATTCAAAATGAACTTTTAAGAATGTGATGAGATGAAAAAGTTAGTGTCACGAGCAGGATTCGAACCCACGACCTTCGGCTTCTATCCCCTCGGACACCAACTCACCATCTCAACCCATAATCTTTAGCATTCTACCTCTTTTTGCCATTTTTCAATTGTATTTATTTTATTCATTCATTATATTAGTGTATTCATTGACAATTGTTATTACATTTGCTATGAATATGTTGGTAAAAATTTACTACTTTACTATCCGAAGAAAAATTCAAAACGTATTTTTATGATTTCACCTTGCAGTCCGCTAAACATATGACGTCCGATATATTAGAAACGATTTTACTGGTATGAAAGAAATTAACAAATTACCAATTTTGTTACATTTTCGTACTTTGCATTCATAAATGTTTGCTTTGTCGTAACTGATGTAATGTAATATCGTGTATGACAAATAGAAGTGGGCTCATGACTTCTCCTCGCACAAGGCTAGAACGTTAAGATTTGTGAACGATAAACAAGACGCTAACATTAAACACAAAAATACACCCATAATTTATTATTTAGTATCTTTTTCTCAAGTTCAATTTTTAATGCGGTCTCTACATCAATCGCTTGTTGGGATGCTCAGGTTTGGCGGTTTGCTCGTATGATGTCAAATTTATTTTATTTTATTTTTTTTTTCGAGGATTCGCAACAGCAGAGGTCATATAAACCCTCAGGGTGCCGGTGTTTTTGAAAAAAAGCCCATTTGTAAGTATGTCGGGTTAGAATGCAGGGCCGCTGGATTCGAACCCGGGACCTTTACCTTACAGTGATGAGCGCCGTGTCAACGCCCAAACCGTTGCGGCCACCGACGCCCCTAAGTCAAATTTATTATTTTCTTGTTTGTTTTATTATAAGCATTTTTTTAAATTACAATCAAAACGAAAGGGAAATTTTTTACGTAACTTATAAACCTACTGGAACAAAATAAGTGTAACCTTTTTATTTAATTATTTGCTTTATATCGATTTGAAATTAAAAACAAAATGAAACTTTAAAGAGACTGATATCACCACATTGTCAGTATGAAATAAATTGAAGTGTGACCCAAGTATTGAACTAACAAAATTTGAATTAATAATTAAATTGGTAATAGCTGTATTTGAAATATGTCTTCCTTCTGTTTTCCTTTTTTATTTATTGTTATTTACTTTACATCATCTTTATTTTCCGAGGAATTTAATCTTTCACAGAGTTTAGTTTTTGGTCGAAAATTTTTCTTACCCCCCCCCCCCCTAAATGCCACCGATCCATTTTTCTGTTCCGACTTTCATTCCAGAAGGATGCGATTCCCTCTCGGACCCCCCGCGGGTCGTTCACCAACGACCGTTGTTTTGTCTGGTTGTTTTTGTCCACGGCCAAAGACAAAAGTGCGCCATATGGGCAGGAGGAAATCCTTGTAAATCGATACGAGGATCGTAAACCGGGAGGGAAGAGAGACGAGTGAGATAGAGAGAGGAACGAGGGCTGAGGGCGGAAAAAAAATGCCAGAGAACCAGAAGTGAAACCCTAGGAGGACGGTGTCGGGTTTGGGTCCTACTTGTAATGCTTCATACCACGAGCTTCGGACAGACGTCCCGCATAACTCGATAACTTTTTCTTTTTTTCCCCTGCCCGATGGGCTCAATCCCCATAAAAATTTATTTAAGTTATCCCAAGGTAGGGGAAAAAAACCCGAAAAAGGCGAGACCTGACGGACCTAATACGTAAAAACAATAACTACCTGATTGAAACTATTTTACTAAAACAAAAACCATCTCTGACTCCCTCTACAAAATACTATTTTGAAATTTCGTTATGTCAGACTTTACAGAAAGATCTTAAGAAAAGGATTCTCCTCCAATCACAAGAAATAGACGGACTGGCTACTTTTCGCGATATCCAACTTTACAGATGGGTCTTAGGAAAAATGAATATTCTCCTGTCACAACAAAAGGACAGATTTCCTCTTTTTGGTATCCTAAGAAAAGGATTCCTCTACAACAACCAGAAAAGGACATATTTACGTCCTTTCGGGTGATAAAATCACAAGAAATATGTAAAATGAATTCCATGGGTTGATGACCAACATTGCACTTGGATCAGGAAAAATGGATTCTTCTGCAACCACAAGAATAGGACAGAATGACTTCGCTGGGGCGATGACCAACTTTTCGGCTGGATCTACCGGAAGCATTCTTTTCCAGTTATAAAAAAAATTAGACGGAATAGTTTGTTTTGTGTGAAGTGCAACATTACTGCACTTCACACAAAACAAACTATTCCGTAGTAGAAGACGGAGACCACGGAAAGAATTATTCTGCAGCAATAAATACATAAATGGATCCTGCAGCTACCAGCAAACAGACTGGAAACTACGAACAGATTCTTCTACTATATTACGAAAAGATCTTCCAAAATCATAAGAAATGGACAGAATGACATATTTTTGGTGATATTCAACATTACAACTGGAACCTACGAATTCCTTAGGATTCTTCTCCTACCTCAAGAAAGGAACACAATAAGAAGAACAAGAATAGAAGTGTTGTCCGACTTAACAGCTGGGTCCTATGAAAAGGATTTCTCTCCAACTACAAGAAAATTACTCATTTATTTCATTTGGATCGATGACCAAACTTTACTGCTGGATTCTACGAAAATGATTCCTCTCCAACCACCGCAAAGGACAGATTTCTTTCTTTTTGGATCCTAGTAAAAATGGATTCTGCAGTTACTAGCAAACAGACTGAGGTCCGAGTTTACAGCTGGAAACTAGAGATTCTTCTACTAACTTATGCAAAGATTCTTCTAAAATCATAGAAATGAACAGAATGACAAATTTTTGACGATATCCAACTTTACAGCCGAATCCTAGGAAAAATGGATTCTTCAGCAACCGGCAGACTGAGATCCGACTTCACAGCTGGAAACTACGAAGAGACTCTTCTACTAGCTTATGAAAAGATTCTTCCAAAATCATAGAAATGGACAGAATGACAAATTTTTGATGATATCCAACTTCAAAGCCGGATCCTAGGAAAAATGGATTCTTCAGCTACCGGGAGACTGAGGTCCGACTTCTCAGC